GTAAGACTAGTATGTATTTTGAATTTTATAGTAATGATATATCCTGCCACTAATACTACCCCCCTCCTAGTAAAATATCCTCCTGGGTATTAATCAATTTATTAGGAGGTAAATTGATTAATACCCAGGGTATTGTATGCAGTGGTATATGGTAGTAGCAGGATATATCATTATTATAAAATTCAAAATAATATTGTCTTACTTATTATTATATTAATATACTCAAATAGTAATCAATTATCAAGTAACAATTTTTTTGAATACTACTTGATATTATTAGTAAGGGGTAATATTTGAAGGGGAGTATTGTATGCAGTGGTATACAATAATTAAAAAGTTATAATGATATAAAAATAGTCTAATTGAATAACAAATCAATTTTTGGACATATGACAGACATATAAAATTTCAAAAACTTTTGAGACACGTTTTGGCTGATTCTATAAATATTAATACTTTTAGCAAAACAAATACAAACTTGAAATTTGTTTTTTTTCAATGAGAAGAGGAAAAAAACTTATCAAAACACAAAAGAATATCATTTTTTATGGAATTGATCACAGAGATTTCTATAGAATAATTGTTAAGTCAGTTAATTATAACAAATCAATAGTTGGTGATATCTTAAAGCTATACAATAAGACTAATTTTGTTGCACCAAAGAAACATTCTGGATATCCTTACCTCATTTCAGACAATTTGGGCAATCATCTCAAGCAATTAATAATAAAGAATCACTAGCTCTATACAAGTGAGGTGCAAGCTCTCTGGAAAAAAAAGTGATTAGTTAGTCTCCACCTATACTATTTACTGAATTCTTTATCATATTGGATTTAAAAATCGTGTTGCTTAGTGCAAACTTCTGATCTTGATATCTAATAAGACAGCATGTCTCATATGATATTTAAAACATGCAAATTGGACAAAAAAAAACTGGATAAAGATTTTGTGAAGTGACAAAACATTACTTATTCAATTTTAACAAAATCATTACATTTGGATATAAAGGGGACCAAAAAACAAATAGGATTTTTCTTGTATTTTGGTTACTATCAAATACAGTTCCAGCCAAATATATTAGGGCTGCTTCTCACATAAAGGGTTAGGACTGATTGTGTCATTACAAAGTTCTGTAACTGGCAAGTTATATGTCAAAATTCTTCAAAAACATATGTTACCTACAATACAACGTATGTTTCCTAATGGCAATTGTCTATTTTAAAATAATAATACTCTACTTCATCATTCAAAAATTGCAAAGAAATACAGTATTACTAACTATTTATATACTCTTTCATGACTTGCTCAGAGCCTGGATCTCAATTTAATAAAGAACCTTTAGACTATCTTTAAGAGAAATGTTTATAATAAAAAAACTAAGCCATATAACTTAAATAAGCTTGATTGGCATGTCAAAAGTATATGGAAGGCAATATCAGTTTCTAATCTTAAAACTTTAATAGATAGTATGCCATGGCACATATCAGCAATTATCAAGATATAAAAAGGAACAATGAAGTATTAATATAGCAATTTTTTATAAATTATCTTAAAATTCATTAAAGTTTTTTTAACATATCTTAAGAACCACTTACTTTAAATATATAAAATTTTAATATTATATGCTCACAAATATAATGAATCATTTTATTTAAGACACTAAATCAAACTTTTTCATTAGTTATTGCACTATTACATTATGAATCACATGTCCGAATATTTTTGTCTATCCATTGTACATTATTTGTTTTTTGTAAAGATTCAATAAACAGTATGCACTTGTTTGACTACAGAAAAAAAAATATATATATTAATATTATAATTAAATATTTTGTTTATATCAGATTGATAGAATATATAATGTTAAAATAGTTGTACTATACTTTTGTATAACAACTAATTATATTCTTATAAATTTTTTATTATATAAATAACAATATCAAAAATAAAACTATTCAATATTTTCTAATATAGTATATTGTTTTAATATTTATATTCAATACCTATTAGAAGAATGTGAAGGCAAGCTAACATTAAACTCTGTATACATAGTATGGCTGAGAGATGTTTATTATGTACTGTATTATTATGATAATGTACAATAAAAAAAAAGAAAAATATTATTAAATTATAAAATAAAAAATATTATTGGATATTTTGATATATTGCTTATTTTTAATCAAATGAAAATATTTCTAACTCTTTTATCGCATGATTTCACGTAATGAATAAAAACTACGCATTATATCTTACAAACAAGCATAATTATAATGGTGCAATTGCTTTTTCTAGAAGTAAATCTCTTTTTGTATTGCTCTAAATTTATCTCGATTTATGCAAGTGCCGTGGTAGTAATTATTGACTTTGAACGTTACCTATTACCGATCTTCCAAGTCAATTATCATCAACATCCGACGCATTCTCTTCTAACTAAAACTCTTTATAATAATCATGACAAATCCTTTTTGCATATTCTACCAGATTAGCGTGCTCACGAACTAATCGCGCAAGATCATTGTCTGGAGGAAACTCTAGGATAGTGTGTATATATGAAAAAATGACGGCATCGATAAAATTCGGTAATCTATGGAAATTATAAAATTAATGTTTTTCCAAAATTATGTGGTATAATAACTTTGATCAAGTATAAAACCTTTCATCGAAAAAGTAATTTTTGTCAGCCAAAGCTACAGAAAACGCCTTCAATGCATCAGCTGCTTCTTGGTATATCTAAAAAAAAAAAAAAAAGTTCATATCCTCGCGGACAGCATAAAAAATCAACATATGACTCGTACTTCTTCCCGGTTTAGAATAGGTCTTCGAGTTAACATTTCTTTAATTGCAGCGTTCTTTGCCTGATACATCAATAATCTGTTCAAAGGTTTGGCATAACTTTTACCATATTTTCCCCATGTAATACTTTCATATTCTGGTTCACACCAAAGAGTATAAAGCTATGTAGGCGACGTAAAGCAATGGATAAGTGAGTGCCAGTTGTTAACTTTCGATCTTTGAATGTGAACTCACCAACACATGACGCAATTTTGTATCGGCCAATGCAATGAATGCTTCAGAATCGGCCTGATGTTCTTGGTTGGTTAGCTCTCCGAGTTTATTCGATTTCTTAATGTCATAGTATGGGATAGACAAAGATTTATTTTAAGAGGTCAATTCTATCCGGAGGTGTTTGCTATTGGATGATGAATTACATTTTCTTTTGCATAATCTACTATCTTTTCGTCCACGAGAACCTCACCAGTTGGTAATATAAGTACTGGAAGTTTTCCTAAGTGGTAGAGAGAGAAGAGTGAGCAAGTCAAAAGAAACGTTGTCGTAAAGGTAATATTAAATCATTATACCTGATGGGGACATAAGGGGCTCATTTGAATATTTGACTTCAAAATCTTCTCCGATGAATTTTAAATAAGTCTATATACGAATTAGGTACTAATTAATCAATATGACTAAGAGAAAAATGTAAAATTAAAATTAAAATGCATTTATATGCTACCTGCCATTTTAGACATTCCTGGTCGAATGATATTTCTTGATTTTTCCAATCTGGTCCCCAAATATACAATCTCGAGCACAAGAGATCTCTACTCTTATAAAGAGGTTTATTTAATTTAAGTGGGAAGTAAGAGAGGAATTTTCGTACATTCTGTAGTATCGGATTATCGTTTAAACTATCTCGCCATGTCTGGTTTGGGGAAGAAACAGACATAGTGAAATTGCAGGAAAAAATGTGATGAGAAATCAAATAAATAATCTATTATCATCTGATTGGTCTGATTTCCTGTTCCGTATACATCTACGCAAAAAATTTGGATCACACAAAATTACCAAAATTACCATACCAAAAATCCAACATTGAAGTTTTTTCCGAGAATAAGATTCACCGACATGCGCAAATCGCGCATTTATTTTGTATTGTGGTAATTGTGGAAGGAGAAAAGTAATGTGAAGTTTGCACTCGAATATCTTGCTATCAAATGTACAATGCATCTGCCTAATGTCCAAATATGCACATGACTTTTAATGAACCAGTGCGCGGAATTTCCACTACATTCCAATAAAACATAAAAACCTTTTTAATTTCCGCACATGAATAACGAGGTACTGGTCCCAATCTATGTCGGATTTGAAATTGAGCCAGCAGATGACTACCAAGTTTGGATAGAATGTACTAAGGAGAATTTAAAATATAAATAATGAAGCTACCTTTCTATTCTATGTAACTAGTTTTAATTCTCTTGTCGAAGATAAAATGTCTCTTCTAAAATGGATTGGAATGGTAATATTATTGCCTTAATTTTATAAAGATTCTTTCTATTTGAAGAGTCTTTAATAAAGTGACAAATTGTTAACCTTTCTTGTGTTTGATTGCAATTTGATAGGGTCCCTCCGGAAAGACGGCGACCAGTGAAGCATGGAGTAGTGGAACCGAGAAATATTTCGGTTTAGAAAATGTAAGAAATTTATCATACTATTTCAGTTTGAGATTTCTAGATTCTCACTCTTGCTCCTTCCCTCCCTTCTTTCTGCCTAAATATCCTTTCAGTTCGGAAACACATGGTAGGTCTGCTCTTGGGGATTATTATTTATGAATTTGGAATGAAATCCCTCATGGAATTAATCGTCCGATTTTAAATATTTAGTTATTGTAATTCAATTATACAGGCTCTCTATTTCTGTAAACCCTTTCGGGAGTGTGTTATCAATTTTCCAACAGGACCAGTGAGCTTATCCGTACCGCCATCACAACTCAATACGCAATCGTCAACCATCACTATCGTAAATGGGATTGCATCTAAAAAGGAGGCAAACGGAGGTGGAGATAATAAAAGTAACTTTGAAGCAAATGAAGTTTTAAACAAACGTTTGTTGAGGATCATCTCACCGTTTTTTTAATGTAGTCAATGGAGACCAACATTCTACAACGGCACAGGGAATCGAGGACACCTTATTTGGTGCTTTGAAGGACCTGTTCTGTAAAATAAATAGTCAAAAGAAACGGACTGGCGTTTTGGCGCCAAATCATTTCATCACAAAATTAAAAAAAGAAAATGGTATTTATTTAATTTTTACATTAAGCTTAACATAGGTATAACTATTTATAATATATATATATTATAGGTTCATAAATATATTATTATTGAAATTTGGATTATCAAATAGAGCTCTTTCGGTCAACAATGCACCAAGATGCGCATGAATTTTTGAATTTTGTTCTCAACGCCATAGCCGAAAATGTTATGGAACAACAAAAGAGAATTGAAGAAGCTGAAAGGCAACAGCGAGAACAAGAACAACAATCCGATATTAACGAGAAATCCAGATCAGGTAACGAAGAGAACGGTAATACAGGTAATAAATTTTACTTAAAACACTACAATCTCCTCGCGTATATGACGCATAATTATATATATATATTACAGCTGATGGGAATTCGTCCAAGGGCTCTGAGGCAACTTCTAGCATGACTTCGTCGAGTACAACATGGGTTCACCAAATTTTCGAGGGTACCTTAACGAATGAGACCAAATGCCTAACTTGCGAAACTGTGAGTAAATATATTGATCCTCCTTTCTTTTTGATTTTCTGGTTTTGTTAAACTCATGGTTTTATTTCTATACAGGTCACAAGTAGAGATGAATCCTTTCTTGACCTTTCCATTGATATTGAACAAAATTCTTCTGTCACGTCTTGCCTGAGGCAATTCTCTGCAAGCGAGATCTTGTGTCACAAAAATAAGTTTTTTTGCGATGTATGTTGTGGTTTACAGGAGGCCGAAAAAAGGTGCGAACCGCCGATTTTATAGAACCTTAACTGCTCACTCAAGCTTCTAAAGTAGCGTTTTAATATTAATTAGATTCTATCGTATCTTATTAGAATGAAAATCAAGAAATTGCCTAATGTGCTAGCTCTTCATCTGAAGCGTTTCAAATATCAAGAAAAGTTACAGAGATACATCAAGTTATCGTATAGAGTTGTTTTTCCATTTGAACTGAGATTATTTAATACGGTAGGAAATCATTACGCCGACTTGATCTTCTCCACATGGACATTCTTTTATATTCTGAATAAATGTTTTCACGTTCGTTAGTGCGACAATATCGAAGACCCTGACCGTCTATACGAGCTCTATGCTATTTGCGTACACATTGGAAGGTAGTTGAATTACAGATTTCCCAACATTAATTTCGACATACTTCAAAATCAAAATAATTAATTTACATGAATAATAGCGGTCCATATCATGGCCATTACGTGACACTAATAAAGAGTATGGGACAGTGGCTTTTGTTTGACGATGATAATGTTGAAGTGAGCAACATGAATTTGTTTTTTCATATTTCATGTTTTCCAAATATTTACAATTTATTTACACATGTTCCATTTTCAGCCCATAGATGAAGCCGATATACAAAAATATTTTGGTGACTTACCTGGGGCTGGATCGGGATATGTGCTATTTTATCAAGCATGTGATCTAGATTTGAATTCCCTTGGTTTGTTGAATGCTGTATGGGCAAACAGTCATGTCTCGGGATCAAGTTCTTCATCAGCGGAATTCGATGGGTCGGCTGAAACTAACGATCCACTTGCAACGGATGCTGTGGTCCCAATAAATGGCACGGACAATAATCCTCAGCTGGTTACAGGCACCGAAGAATCGCGGAGTGATCGTAAACAATGGCTACTTAGTGGAAGGAAAAAGGATCATAACACTCCGGATAGACGAAAGTCTCATGCTGATGCCGATAATTATAGAGAAAATGAAGATGGGCAAAATCATTCACACGAAAAGGAACGATCATGGTTTGGTGTTTCACGTTCAAATTCGAAGTCTCAGAAGGAAAAGGATAAAAAGGAGGACAAGGAAGAGAAAAAACAGGCTTCGAATTTAGAATCCTTATTTGAGGAACCCGAAAGTATTGGCAGCACGAATCATAAGAAAGATAAGAAAGCGGAGAAGGAAGGAAAGAAAAAGGAGAAGAAATTAAAATCAGAGAAGAAGTTAGATAAATTATCATCAGCTGGTACCAATGAAACTATTTGAATCTACAATATCATTATGGTCATGTTTTAGTCAACAGAAGGAAGGGAATTTTAGGTCATAAGAAATGAATCAATTTCCTAATTTTCCTATTCTTGTGATTGGATACTTACCAGTCTTCTTAATTTTCCATTATAACAATTTTCTAAAATGTGAGGGCGCTAGGTCCTTATTTCTGATTATTTACTACCTTCTCCACTCTTTTAATTGTACATTAGAACTTTATTTTACCTTTAGCTTGATAGGCTAGTAGGAAGATTTGTATAGAACGAAACTTGTTTTGAAATAAATTCGATTATCGCTATACACACGAGGGGACTATACTGTATATCAAAAGATAATCGGATTAAGATGATTGACATTCATTTTCTATTTATTTAATAGTCAATAAAATTTAATGAAATTCTCTTCATAATAGATGTGATTAATTAGAACAATGTAAATCTTTATGCAAGATAGGATTATAAATTGTACAATTTGCTTAAAATTTAAATTAAATCCGGCTTAGACCATTAAATATTTACTCGTTATAACGAGTTTTCGTGCGTTTGTTTACGATTAATTTAATTGTGTAATTCTGTAATATTACAACTTATTCCTAATTCGCATGTAAAAACGATTAAACGGATGGATTGGATACGTGTATACATGTGTTGAATTATTTTTTAAATTAAAATAACTACAGTTTACTTTTAAAATATAACGATAATGTTAATTAAACCTTAAGAGCAATATAAAATTAACTTGAGAAATTGAGTTAAGCACTTTACAATTGCATATTTGTTAATATACGTAATTGGCGAATGGATGACATTTTACATGTGTTCAATATACAGTACATCCACATGTATAAACAATAATACTTCAAATGACGTACAAATTTTCTAGAAATGCTTCCAGAACTTTTAAAATCGATCATTGTATTAGTATCAGCACATCATAAGGTGCCTTACACCATATATAGAATTTATGGAAATGGATTGTTTATATAAATCATTATATTATTCATATACTGGTCAAGTCGCGTGTACAACCCAAATAGAAAGTATGCCTTATTTACTTAACCTAATACTATCAAGGAATTTCTTTATATCACAATTAAATCCAGGAAATCATGAAAGTTACTTAGTAGAACTTGGTAAATCAATTACACAGTATCTTTTTTGGTACATATATTTTTTGGGGGATGTGTGCAGAGCATCTTGGAATATAAAATATGTAAATTCAAAAGTTATACAGTTGAATGACATATAATTTTACGCATTAAGTTACTCGTAATAAAAAACTTCGCCGATTTGAGCTATATCGATAGATCACGTGTATTCAAAACTGGTACTTTATCGAAAAATATTATCCATCATTGTATGTGCTTTTTTATGTAGCGAATTTCTCCTACGGTGTTGAAGTCCTAATTAATAAACAAAAAGGTTTTTAGTGTTTCTAATAAGTGGAAAGATATTCGACGGCCATTAGAATGAAAACATTTTGTATGCACCCTGAAATTATGATAACTCTATGTACCCTATATCATACTGAGAAAAGTGTAACAAAGCAAATCATCATGGTTTCCTGAGCTTATTAATCGTGAAGAAAAAACGAATTTTAATGGTAGAATCAACACGTGGTCTTAAAAGAAATGTATGGTTTTTTTATTTCTTAAGGAAAGGTAACCATTAGTTAGGCCATATACAGTATATTCCTATAGCAATCGTTTTATTTGCATTTGTATATAAACGTTAATACCTAAGAGAATTATTTAGTTTTGATCTGATGGAACTACTTCCTTATGACAAATAAAGAAAAACATATCAGAAGAGAAAAGTTGAAACAAACAAATTACAAACTTAATAGTTATATACACATAATTTATTAAGCAAGTAAAGTTTTAGATTACTTTTTAACACTAAATGGAGTTCGGTTTTTTAACAATATACTATAATTGTATGTTAAAGAAATACATTATAATGTCTTATTGCTGGTACAGTTTAGCTAACGTGTGAAATAAAAGAAAAATAAATTGAAAGATTATCAAAAATAAGTGATATAATTTGCAATTTGCTTGAAAATAAAAAGAATAAGACATTCAATTATTAGCAAAAATCAACGAATAAATTGAAATTTCTCTTAATTATTAATAAATATAATTTTTTTTTTTTTTTAGTAAATAGACATCAATTCTTTATTTAATTATATATAACAGGATATATACATATATTTGAAAAGAATCTATATCTTTCACATATATTTGCAATAAGTTAAATGCTAACTTATCTATGATAACTATATAAATTATATTAAAAAGAAAATTTAAACTAATATTTATCTAGATAAGATATATTGAATCATATTAATTAGAGGAAAAAATAATATTATATTATTTAAAATTTTAGTTGAATAACTTAATTAAATATTTAAATAATTATTTCCCTAGCTAGACATTACTAGCAAAAATTAATTTTTTATTTAATATACCTAATATTGATCTTTCTAATCTTTGCTAGAATTTTTCAAGCAGCTTTTAATTTAAATCAAATATAAAAGAAGACAATTATATTATATAAAATATTTTATATACAAAATTATATTATTTAAGTATTTAAATTAAATTTTATTTAAAAATAAAACAAAACAAAATCTTAAATATTGATTAATAAATACTTGAATATAAAATATATTATATATATATATATATATACGTATATTTTTTTTTGAGTAGGTAAACACCATTTCTTTATTTATTCGTATATTACAAGGTATATATTTAGAAAGAAACAACATCTCTCATGTGTGATTAGCAGTGAGTTTAATGCTAGCCTGCCTATAGTAATTACTTAACTTCTACTAGAAAAGACATTTTAAAACTAGTATACTAATTAAATGATACCGAGCAGCTATGTATGCCTACTCAGAATTATTGAAGAGAAAAATAAAATTAACTAAAACAAAATCAAATAAACTGTAAGATCTATGAGAAAAAAAATTATATTTCCAAGAGAACCCCTGGCCAGGCT